CACGACGTTTCGGCCACAACGCAAGCAGCTGTCCTCAGGTGAAGAAACAGGTCTGTCGAGAAGACAGCGTCTGAATGACAGACCTGTTTCTTCACCTGAAGACGGCTGCTTGCGTTGTGGCCGAAACGTCGTGAGAATTATTTTATTATGTTTTATTTTTATTATTTTATTACTTCCCTTCTACGTGACTTTACCGAAAGAACCAAGAAGATGAATCACTGCAGTCACGAAAGCTTTAAATCGAAATTTAGTGTTTGGTTTGGTCAAATCAGTTCGGTTTCCACTCGAAGGGGTTTTCAGATCATGAGACCTTCTTTGCCAGTATTAAATTATGATGATAGGGTTTTCCCCTTTCTGGCAATACAACAGGTGTTAAGATGGTAAAACACCACACTGAAACGTTTGCGAGGAATCATGTCTGCATGAACAACATATACTCGTGGTGAACATGCAAACATAAAAAAACATGCTCTGACAGTATGTGCATTGTCTTTGAAACTGATTGGTCCACACCAGAGACAGCTTTCTTTAGAGCCTAGTCTCAAGTATATGTGGTTAATGCAGACATGATTCCTTGCAAAGGTTTCAATTTGGTGTTGTACCATCTTAACACCTGTTTTGTTGCCAGAAAGGGAAAAAACTCTACTATCGGGTTTTCAAATGTTGGTGTTCCAGATGTCACACGCAGGCCTAGTGTGCTCATTGGAAAACCTCATCTATTGGCGTGTCAACTAAACTCATTGCCGTCTCGTTTTTTGTTATCTTGTTTGTTATGTTTCTCTCCGTGTCTTGTTTGTACAATCTCAGAGATCAAGTTGGCTCGGGTCAAACCCACAAACAAGCGTGGATATTAGGATGCAGTTGTCACCACTCCCAGATTACTCCTGCTATCCATGCTTGAAATGCAACATTATTAGAAGATAATTAACTTAATGTAATTCACACAATTAAGTGTATCTACACCGATATAAGGGGTGTAATGGATCGGTCGGATTATACACATTAAATACTCACATTTGACTCCTCTTACCCAAAGTTCTTGGTTGAAAACTCACAGATATTAGCCATGAGTGAGGAAAATGCAACACAAATGCAGAGACATATAACTAGCGGAATAATTCTATGTGGATCTCTCAAGCACTTGAAGAAGTATACTCTTAGTTCTTTCGGTAAAGTCACGTAGGTAAAAAATGAAATAAAAATTAATAAAAATAAAACAATAAAATGACGACGTTTCGGAGGCAACGCGTCGTGATTTTATTGTTTTATTTTTATTAATTTTAATTTCATTTTTGACCTACGTGACTTTACCGAAAGAACTAAGAGTATGAATCCTTGCAGTCACGAAAGCTTCAAATCTAGACTTGAAGAAGTAGCCACTGCCTTTTCCAGTATTAAGAAAATAAATACCCCTGGACCAATTAGGATAACTGTGATCATCAAAGAAGTGGGGACCAGCTGTCGGATCTAAATTATTCGATGCTTACAAGCACATCTAGCATGTCCTGTAACGATGAACTGATGTAGCAGTTAAAATTCGATTCTTGAGTTGTGACGATTCATCAAATCACTGGGGGGGGGGGGGGGGGGGGGTGAATCATGAGATGCTTACATCTGGCAAAGCAGCATAAAGAGCATCATAAGCGCCATTAGCATCAGCAGCAATAGCATAATCATCATAAGAATTAGCAGCGCAGCAACAGCAAGGCATCAATGACGGCAACATCGGCGGCATGATCAACATCATCTACATAATCATGAAGAACACCATTAGCATGAGCTGAGCATTATCATCAGCAGCAGCACCCATCGGTCTGCATCATCGGAATCATCTCCATCAATCTAGAAGCAGCAGAAACAGCATCGTTATCAGCAGCAGAAGCGATGTCAGCTACTGCAGTCAGACACAATGGTGCATTACTGTGATGCGGTGTTTGTATGCTAGATATCTTTCACACCGTACATAGCCAACCGCGCTAATCGTAAGTGCGGGGGGAGTACAGCAAACTAAAAGGGTTGTTTTAGAGGTAAGGGTTGGTAGATTACATATATGATTACACATATTGTATTAGTGAAACTCCAAAATACACTTGGCTGTGTGAGATGGTGAGGTTATTACAATACAAACAACAATATTGCATGGATCCTTACTCATAATAAACGTTTTTGGGTTTAGATCGCTTTATTTATAAATGTGTCGTAACCCTCCACCACCCGACACGGCCAATCAGTAAAAAGTGTCACGTTGACAAAAGACAAATAGTTCACTGCTTTAGCCCACCGGTGTGTTGAAGCGTGAAACCACAACATTTACAATTTTTGAGTACGACGTTTCGCTGGTAATTGCATCCAGCATCATCGGGCAATTCGCCAGAATGGTGAGGCTCTGCTCTGGTTCCCGGTCTTATATAGAGCAGCAGCAGGGTGACGTCATCATTAACTCATCAACTCATCCTTACATTGTCGTAAATTTCCATCTCATAAACATGAGTTAACTCCAGCTTCTCCTGTGTTCTCCACGCACGCAACACACTCAAGAATTACGCTTTACTGGATAAATGACAATCATCAGCAACATTATTGGCACCAGCAGCAAAAGCAATGTGCCCGATCCACATCAATATACTGAAATCAGTAACAGGACTTGATATGTGCAACATATTCATTGTCATCACCTTGACCGTCATCATTGATCCTTTCCCATACAATTTCTGATGGTGTCATCTTGTCCACAGGAAATAAATGAATGTCACTAATTTACATCTCACTTGCAAATCACATCGAGTGATGTAAATACAGGGCATCCCAAATGCTGCCCGTTTACCAACCGGCAGATTCTCAGATGCGTTGTAACCTCAAGTCAGCTCCTCTTTTCTGAGGATCTGCGCGGATATGAAGAAATTGACACACACCATTACCACTTCTTTGTAAGGGGCCGTCAATAAATGACGATGTGTGACGATGGGGGAGGGAGGGTTGATAAATGTGACGTCGCATCAAAATGCGCAACTTTAAATAAATATAGACAACACGTTCTACTTAATTAAATAGACTTTTTAATAAATGATTTCTACTACAACACCAGAGTGCAGCGCCACATTAAATACGCACTACAATGACAATAGTTTAAAGCGATTTGAAGCATGTTTTATTTGGGGGGGGGGCAGAGCTTTGTGACGTCATATTTGAGGGGGGGGTCTGACTTTTTGTGACGCCGTGTGACGATGGGAGGGGGGGTCAAAAATCCTCTAAAATGGCGTGACGTCATTTATGGACGGCCCCTTTATACGAATAAACGGCCCACGTAACGTAGGAAAAAACGTAGATTGACCGGAAAAATGCCAAAGTTAGGTAAATTTTGTAATGTTTACGGGGACGGTTGTTTTGTAGTAATATTATTGCAAATCCACTTGTCAAATAAGGAACACTTACACGAACAACATCCCAGGAATTGACTTTTTCGGATCTGTTCTATATTGTCATGCAAATGCCCTGACTTCTTTCAATTTCTCCTCAAAATACCAAAGAGATGTTTCTTCAATGGTGGTTGATCATTTTCAGAGAAATGGTCTCTCTCCCCTTTTACGCCACCCAAACCCTGACCAGTTGCCAATTCGCTTACTTATCCCTACAGTTCAACTTTGTGAATATTGAACTATATGCAGTATGCACTACGCTAACGTTAAACTCCGGGACATCGTTTGAGCTTCAACACAGTAAACATTGAACGTTGTTCCAAAGTTGGTCCAATGGTTCCAGACCACGTGCCAAAGTTCATTACGACTGTATACTCTTTGGTCGGTAAAGTCACGTATGTATAACATCAAATCAAGATATTACGACTGTTTATTAAGACGTTGGTCCAACATTGGCATGTCTACTGAGAAGTGACAATTACGCCTGATAGCTACATGCATGAAGGGTTCCATTCTACAGCAGGTTATGTTTTCTAACTACTGTGCAGCATATAAATCATTATTGCAATTAATTGCTTTCTGTACATTAACACAAGACTTGAGTAAATCACACGATATTACAGGAGCTCCATCATTTATGCGTTATTGATTTTATAATTTGATAGTATTCTATTAAGACGCCTCAAGTTAATCACGTGTAATTGTAACTATCAATCACTAACGAAGCGACACTGCTGCGTCGTCACATTTGCCTTAAATCGCGTAAATTATTCTAATGTACTGTTATTCATTAATGTATATTACGAATAAACTGTGCTGCATATTCACATGCACTTGTATTAAGTAAAACGTGTTATGAATGCGTTGATAATGTATTGCTACTTTATGATGAATTCATAGTCTTAAGATAGATGCGATATTAACACTTTCCTTAAGTACATCACGTTATTGCAGTACAATATTGTATTAATGTTGAATTTTACATTCGAAACGTACAGTATTACTATTATGTACAACAGTAGCATAGTTCTTGAGTGAATTGCAAATCATTGTATTGATTCATCCATAATAGAGGTTTTTGGTTTAGATGGCGTACAGAGAAATGTGTCGTTAAACCCGCTGCCACCCGACACAGCCAACGAGTAAGGTTTGTCACGTAAGCAAACGTGTCAATTCGTTACTAGCGCAGCAACACACGCGTGTTGGATAGTAAACCCACAGCAACATTTACAATTCGCTTACCGTGACGTTTCGCCGGTAATTACAACCAGCATCATCAGGCGACGGCCAGAGCTGTGGATAACCACCACCACCCCCGACCCTAAATGTCGGTCTTCAATAGCCTGGCGTGTTAAACTGAGCATCCATTCACGTCGCCGAAGCAAAGAGTGGGGCACCCCGGATTAGACGCACGCAGTGCGGGGCTGCTCGGCCAAACGCGTTAAACGAGTCAGTGGCAGGCGCTCGTTTGGATCAGTGCGGTGGGAGTTGGGGGGATTGTGGGCGCAACAAAGATCCTCCCGTGTAGCCAGTAACAGACTGTTTGGGGGCTGTTAGCGAGCAGCACCTGCGAAGGCCGGCACTGTGGCACACGAGGGGGTTGGGCGTCCAGCAACCACGCCCTGCCGCCTTTGTCTCCCCAAGTGGCGATGTTTGGACACCGCACGAGGTTACTCAATTTGAGGCTGAGCCGACCTAGATAGGGGGGGGGAGGCCCAGTACCCGTTCGGATAATCGTCACCGTGGTGTTGGAGGCCGTGAGCGGGAATCGAACTAGGGGACCGCCGGGTTCGCGGCGCAGCGCGCTCACCGCTCCACCACCGCTCCACCACTGCTGTGAGAACCCCCCTCCACCCTCCCACTCCACCCCCCCTCCACCTCCCCTCCACCCCCCCTCCACCCCACTCCACCCCCCCTCCACCCCCCCCACTCCACCCCCCCTCCACCCCCCCACTCCACCCCCCCTCCACCCCCCCACTCCACCCCCCCACTCCACCTCCCCTCCACCACCTCCCACTCCACCCTCCCCTCCACCCCCCCACTCCACCCCCCCCTCCACCCCCCCACTCCCCCCACTCCACTCCCCCTCTACCCCCCCTCCAACCCCCCTCCACCCTCCCCTCCACCACCTCCCCTCCACCTCCCCTCCACCACCTTCCACTCCACCCCCCCCCCCACTCTACCCTCCCTCCACCCCCCCCCCACTCTACCCTCCCTCCACTCCCCCCACTCTACCCTCCCTCCACCCCCCCCACTCTACCCTCCCTCCACCCCCCCCCCACTCTACCCTCCCTCCACCCCCCCCACTCTACCCTCCCCCCCCCCACTCTACCCCCCCTCCAACCCCCCTCTAACCCCCCCCCCACTTCACCCCCCCTCCACCCCCCACTCCACCCCCCCCCCCCACCACCTCCCCTCCACACCACCTCCACCTCCACCCCTCCCCTCCACAACCCCCTCCACCCCCCCACTCCACCCCCCCTCCACCCCCCCACTCCACCCCCCCTCCACCCCCCACTCCACCCCCCCTCCACCCCCCCTCCACCCCCCCACTCCACCCCCCCTCCACCCCCCCTCCACCCCCCCACTCCACCCCCCCTCCACCCCCCCACTCCACCCCCCCTCCACCCCCCTTTACACCCCCTCCACCTCCCCTCCACCCCCCTCCGAACTCCCCACTCCACCCCCACCCCTCCCCCACCACCATCACAGCGAATCTGCCGCCGCCAATGCGGAGCCGCCGTCCGCCCTCTGCGTTCAAATCTCCCACCCCGCGGCTCCCGCTGACCGCGCGCGGTGAGTGCGAGTCACCGCAGCGGCCTCGCCGCCTATTGTCGGTATTATAACTGCGTGGTGGTTGTTGTTGTTGTTGTTTGTAGCCGTGTTATTATTGCTGTGTGATGATGGTCACCTCTGTGTTGTCGATGCTGTGCCGGCTTGCCCGCGTGTGGGCGTGCTGTGTGCTGAATGCCGTGAACGGCGTCCTGCGTTGCGCAATATGACATCGTTTGAATTGTGGCGGCTTATCGGTTCGCCAAGTTACGTTTCCGTGGAGTTTTAATCGATTAAAACAAAACCCACGTAGGCTATGTTGTTTCTTTGTTGAGTTGGCGCATCCTTGGTTGTTGTTTATTGTACAATTCTGTTGGATTTCCCGTGAGGCGCAAGTAACGTGTTTTGGTTTCCTCAACGGTTTTTACTAAACTTGTTTTACATTCATAGCGAAAGCAACACTAATGATGTGTTAACAGCACACATCGTAGGTACGTGCCTGCCCATAGTTAACGAAAGAGGTACAATATTTAAAGTAGCTCTCATTAACGAAGCTACTAGCACCTAGGCCGCCACACATACGAGGTTGTGGACCTTGAAGGAATTGTGTATCCGGTATTTTATTGCCTCTTTGCCATCGTGTTCAGTAAGATGACTTGATTCTCGGTAGGAATTTCGTATTCTTAGTCGTCTTTGCACCAAGAAACGCCTCGGGCTGCCTCATGGCTCTTTCTCACGAGGGTCTATTCCAAGTTTAAGTATCGGTGGCAAGTCTACTCAACCCCATCATCCCTCCTGGGTCGATACAATAGTTACCACTTTGTTGTGAAATCAGCAGTGGTTGTTGCTATACAGGGACTGGTAGGAATATTAGATGTATTTGCTCTTTGCCGTCATTAGATGTGTGCGCAAAGCAGGGAAACTTTTCTCACTTGCAAATAAAATTGTCAGTCATGCCATGCTTTTCCTCTTATCAAGATGAAATAATATTGTTTACCCAGGAAAAAATGTTTGGTTGTTGGGCTTCTTGGTTTGCCAAACAGTGTTCAGAGAAAAACAAACGCGTATGAATTCACTCAAACGTCATTCAGATAGGTATGAAACATACCATCTGATTGGCGGACATACAGCTTCCAGCTACATCTGCATTATCCACCAAAGATTAACTCCAAACTGCTGCAGTTGCAGGTGACACCATTCTGGCAAATTTGGTCATAGTATAGCAACAACGATCAACCACCTTAAAAATCATAGTTTCGTAAGAAAGTTTAATTGAAGACATTTTTATTCCATACAGCCAGGTACATTTTTAGTCAAATGGTGAACCAGTATACACACTGGAGAATTTTTTACAAAATGATCACATTTTCTCACATTGTTACACCCAAAATATGGAATACGCTGACATTTTTGTTGTTGCCCGAGTAAAATTCCCTGAGGAGATGATGTTGAAAACACATTTATTGAACAAAGTGTGTGTGTTGAGCCTAAGGTTACAATCTTTAGTGTTTTATGTTTAATGTTTTGAGTACTGCAGTACGATGTGTCTGACAGCACCAAGGTGGCTCAGAATTATCTCTTCAGTGCTTGATTGGGTCATCACCCACCACAGGGGTGAATGTGAACTGGTGTAGTAGCACTGTTGTCAACATTTATGTGAAACTCTTAACTATAGCCTTGTTTTTCTAGGTCATTGAACAACCCAAGATCCATCACATCCATCATGCCCGGACCACATCCACTCACCCCAAGGACTCGAGGGCTGTGTATGTTACAATCAACAATTTTTGACATTATTTATTTGAAAAGCAACACACTTGATGTCACTGACTTTCGGCTTCTTTGTGTTTCATCCATTATGTTACCATGTTTTAACCGATGCTCACATTGCACTTGCACTGAAATTAGTCATTGCAGCATGTTAGCCACGATTTCTGTTTGTATTTTAAATTCTCTTTGATGGTATTGTTTTTGGATGTTCCTTGAATAAATGTATGCTATATAACACTTTACTTAATGAACCACCACAGTCATGTTCTTGTACATTATTTTTTGAATGTATAGTAAAAAAACATTTCAATTGTAGGTCATATATGGGTGTTGTGTGTGTGGAAATCAGGTCTTTTGACCAACCTCATTAATATAAATGCATACAATTCCAAAAACATAATGTTGGGGGTGTGGCTGTGGTGCAGTGGGTAATGCACTGTTCTATGAAACACGGTTACCTGAAATCGATTCCTGCTGACAACGAACTTGAATGGCAAGTGATATCTGAACCTGTCCTGGGCCTCCTTTCAACATCGTGCACTGCCAATAAGAAGTATGGCCAAACCTCTCCTATGACCGACGCAGCGTAGGGAAGCCTTGATCCAGCAGTGGATTTAAAATGGCAGTACACTTTTAATGGGACATGTAAATGTACACATAATGAGGATACCGATTGTACAAAGAAGGGATGATGGACAAGAAAAATGCAACAGAGACAAAAAGAAAATGCTAATTTACTAGAGCTAAAACAATAAACATGACATTCAATAAAATAAAAAAACATGCACACAATGTGTTAAAAACATAAATAAACACTAAACGTCAAATTAAAATATTGCAGCAGAACAACTTACCTCATTTGCATGTATGTAAGATTATAACAACAATTACATATGTGTTTACCAATCAGAGGTTCAATGTACGACATGCAATTTAATCTACAGGGGAATGTACGCTCACCCGCTTTGAGCGAGAAAATCTGTATTGTACATTTGCCATCGCGATCATTGCGAGCATGGAGCATGGGCTCTAATGAGTTGATTAGGCAAAGCAGTGGGATGCTTAGTCTATGGGACGTTGTCAGTTGTACAAATTAAAAAATTCTCGCCTGTTAATTTACAAATCGAAGAAATCTCAGATAAAGCACGCATGCCTTCTGCTCGCGAGTAATTTGATGTGCAGTACTCTTCCAGACATCATGCGTATTTATTCACTTTGTGCTCTGTCTTTGCTGCATGCGGATACTCGGCACTGTAGTAAGACTTGTTTGAAGGGCAATCTATTAATTAGTGTGAGATAATGTGACTAACATCAGTACATTGATGTACGTTTTATTTGACCATGGCAATGGCACACAATGTCTTATTAAAGCACTGATTTTAGCATTTCTGTTTTACCTAAAAATGTACACACAAGACATCATCACATTCAGTTGCAATAGCATGTTAAAATAATGGATGACTCATTTAAAATTGATCTCACATAGCCATTTTGATAATATACACACTGATAATTGCTTGGTGGATTATTCTAGTTTATACCATTTTCATGAATGTAAATTTATATGAAGGTTTCAGATCAATGATAAGCATTCATATTTTTCCAATTCATTCATATAATCTCTTAGGCATGCAAAACACTAATAAATTATGCAATATTTCAAATTCGCTAAATCTTTGTGGACTAATTTTGTGAAGAAAAAGAAAAGTGCTTTCTCCTCGTGTGGAGGGAAGTGGCTGTCATCCTAATGGTCATTATTTAGAGTAACACCTCTGTTCTTTGAAGGGTGGCCGGTTGACTTGGCTCATTTTCCTTGGCCTCGCTTCTAATGTCAAAGCTGTATCTCAGCGCTTGCATCATTTACCACCCCTCATTTATGTTATTTTACATGGGCTGAGCATTATTATTTTTTCTTCTTTCTATGTGCTGTACAGCTGACCTTAAATGTGTGCCTTGCTGTACACTCAATGTCAACTACATATTGTTGTTGTTTTTGGAGACAACTGACATTTAAATATATAGATGACCATTATAAACAAGGTAAGAGCCCATTCAGACCAGAAGTCTCTTTTTCAAAGAAGACCTGGACTTAAATAAGTATAGCAAATTGGAATATACATTCCATTGTGCCAACAAACAGTGCAATTTGAAAATAACAACACATACATATTGTGTAATAAGTGACACATTTAAATGATTATGCAATACATGTGAATTAATCGAACACTACAGTACATGGTTGCCTGTATTAAACAAATACAAAAAACATTAATTAAACAGTAACTAACAGCCTATTGAAACATTTAATTATAAGGTACTTTGGATGTTAAATATAATGTAGATCCAATATCTTTCCACGGCCGATGGACATTCTCTTCAGTATACACTTCATACGCGTATTTAATTGGAGAAGAGTTTATTGTGTTAAGGTTCATAAAGATTTCTAAACTCCTAAAATAGATTTCTGTAAATAGTGCTCAATTTAATCTATAAAAGAATTCTTCTTGCTATGTAAAATGTATGTAGGTAGATCCTTCCATAACCTGGTATGAGGTTGTTGAAAATAAAATAATTTTGTATTACAGATTTGCACCATTGAAGGTAATATGGCATTGGCACAATGGATCATCTGCCAGTAAGAGCATTGGGCCACTTATCTCCACCTCTGGCAAAAGATATCTGAAAATATTAACGCATAATTTTGAAATCAAAAGCAAGTGGAAAACTAGCAGGGTAAAAAGGCAAAGTGCAATGTTCTAGCCAGTTTACAATAAAAAGATCTGTAACACATGTAAATAAAGACAATATGGCTAATGTTCCAACAAATCAATCATAAATCAATGCAGGGAAATAAGACTTGGCGTCAAATAGAGATACAAGAAAATGTGTAAGTAAGACATTCATTACAAGAAGTTTCAGTGAATTTGCACTTTTCTGCTGTAAAAGCGGATTGGCCATTTCCTTAAGGGATTTGGGTATTCACTGTTTCTAATTATATGAGAAAACATTCCCCCAGTATTCACCATATCTTAAATGTATTAGATAAAAGGATGTTAGTATTGAGGGATATATTTTCGAGAATTTTTGTACGTACATGTTCTAAACTTTTTTTTTGCTCGTACATCAATCTCTTCAACAATGCATGCTACATTAAAACCTATTGAATGGCTTAAGAGTGAGTGCTTTTATGGCAAAGCAGTTTGTATTCACTTTTCTATTGGGTATAGGGACTCCTATCATCATATCTCATGGGACGCAGATTTGTCATTGATGACGATGAAATGTGAAATCTCTGTGGAAATTGAAAATGGCAGTTAATTAGAAAATTATAATCGTATCAAGTCATTAATTTGACACTATCCAAAAATCATTGCTGGTGTCAAGAATAGGCTCCCTTAATGTTTGCATATCACTAATCCTGTTCTTATAATCTCTTGTTGAATTTATTTTTCATAGTCACAGTTTTTGATAGCAAAAGATTAAGGGCTAGTAGTTGCTGTTAACACTAGCTTTAACCATTCTATATATGTATGTTAAACTTCTTTCGCACCAACCGTGCTAATTGGAGGTGCAGGGGAAGAACAACAAACTAAACACACAAAAATAGCATATTGTGCATTTTACAATGTATTATGTTCCAGCTGTCAAGTATATACCAATGTACAGCATCTCTATCAAGCACATTTTATAGTATTTGTTATATGAAATACATTTCATGATTTAATAACTGGATTATATGAGACCATCACAGTTTGTACTCGGTGTGTGCAAGAATTCCTTCGCAGAGAGGATGTGATGAATAACTTTTTTCTCTTGCATTGCACGCGATTGGAAGTAAATGTTGCCGAACAAATGATCTGCTCAAACCAGTCTTCAGGGAGGAAGTAAGAGGACACTGGAGTCACCTTTCATCACTCCTCTTTGGAAAATGCAGTCATTTTTCAAAGGAATGTGACGAGCTTTACAGAGCGTAAATTAATGGAGGCAAGGTGTGAAGTTTGTCAATCAAATCAACTTGCGGGTTCACAGCTAGCAGCCCCCACTGAATCGTTGATACATCATTAATTCCTGATTAACTGTCAATTGAACCAGCTGTATAACTGCCAATCACATGCATCTGTCACGTCCATTTGTCTGCGACAGTTTCAGATGTGTGCAAATACAGCCATCCGGGCACGCTTCAGCCTTCTCCAGCATGAAGCGTGCGATTGTGCACTACGAAATACACAATTGTGCTTTTTTTATATACCAATTAGTGTTTTTTTCTCACGAGTGTTTACGGGCATTTGTGCCTCGATGGCATTCACAATATAATTTGAAAGATACCTGTGTGTTTTTGGCAGGTACGCAAAAACCACATGCACTAAAGGACAAGGGCAGTAATTAGGTGCAGAAATGAGCTTGAGGCCAAAGGAAAAAGCCAAAGGAAAGATGGATAGCGACAGCTGACGCAATGAGATAATCCATCCTCACAAACAGAAAACACTATCGTTGCAAAAAAAGCTGCATCAATTATTTCCGTGTGTAACCTATTATTGGAAGAACTGGTTAATAACTGAAATTTGATTTGAAAAAAGTGTTTAATTTATTTGAGGAGCGCTATCAGGTTAGTTCAATTCAGTCGGTGGTAATTAAGCATATGGCAGCGTTATTTAAATTTAAATAAAAATTGCAAAAAAACAAACAGTATTAATATTGTAATGCTTTTCAAATACAAAGACAAAGCATTCTGAAAGAGTAATATCCTCACTGGAGGAAAATAAGTGCAAATTAGTTTGGCTTGTGGAATTGATGTTATAAAGTGAAAATGGTATTTGTGCATCAGTATGTTGTGTATATGGTAAACGTAAAATACAAAACAGATGAACTGTGTTCATTAAAATGTTCCTTTTAGAATACATAACGAAAAATAATTTGAAAATGATTTTCTTTTTTTTTATGTAAAGAGATATATAGAGATATTGTCTGATAATCTTTATTTTTCCATTAATATGTT